AAAGAATTCGTTAGTTATTTTGAAGATAACTACATTGGATCAATTGCGCGCAACAATCGTCGTAAACCACCACGTTTTCCATTATCTATGTGGAATTGTTTTGAACGTTTAGAAAATGATTTGCCAAAAACGAATAATCCAGTAGAAGGCTGGAACAATGCAATGAATCAATTTGTTGGTGTTGCTCATCCTGTTATTTATAAAATTATCCAAGATATCAAAAAAGAACAACATTCAACTCAAATTCTTATTGAAAAATTTGAAAGTGGAAGTTTGAAGCTATCGCGACGAGCAAAATATGAAAAAATTGATCAGAAACTTCAACATCTTGTTACACAATATAATATAATGTCGAAAGCTGAATATTTTAAACATTTACGTATATTGTTTAGTTTTTGAAACTGGTGCTGTGCTTAATTTCCTCTAGTTTGTGTGCTGTTCTATTTCGTTATCAAAGTTATCATTTCATCCATTGTTCAATCACAAACATGGGCTAAAATGCCGTGGCGGCTCAATTGATTGGTGCTCAAACGTCAGTGTGCTCAAATATCAATGGGCGCAAAAGTCTATGTGCTCAAATGTCGACGGCTCAATTGACCGGTGCTCAAACGCCAGTGTGCTCAAATGTCGGGGCTCAAACGTCGTGTGCTTCAATGACGTGTCACCCAGTTTTTAGTATGATCCCTAAGTAATGCATGGCAATACGCGAAACCAGTACGCTTCCACTTACGCAATAAACGTCTTCTCTTACGTAGCATTCGTCGGATAGTTGTATCCATAAATGATAATTTCGTTAGAGAATCGTCAATCTCTCTCCAGTATATAGAGGTCAGCGCTTCGTATGATCCGGTCTGGTCCCAATTTTCAGGACTGGACCATAACGTTTTAGAACTAGGACCGCCTCGTACTATTTTCGATAAAAAAATTTGGGACCACCCACTGAAAAAGAATTTACGAATTCCTGCGTTGACACGCAGGAATCTGAAAAAATCCTGTGAATGTTGGATATATACTGCAAGTTTTTACATCACGTTACCTCGCCGAAAATTTTCCTGCAAGTTGGTGAGTATAATTG